CTCGCACCTGTCGCCAGCAATCCGCAACTACTTCAAGAACTCGAGCATCAGCTAACTACCACCAAAAGTTCTGAGCACCGGTTCAAGGTTTACCAGGTATTTATACTTTTATAGTGGCTTCTACCCAGGAAGAATGGATTGTTTTCTTTAGGTCCTCCTATGCGCTATTCAACGTAAGCTATATACGCCAAAGATGGCCCCATTGTTGCAGCGATTAGTGGATGAGCTGAACTCGGATGATGTCTTGGTAAGGCTGGCAGCAATGGATGCGCTGTCAGATGCAGCCATCGCATCGCCAGAAAGTGCCGCGGTTATCAATGATTCAGGAGCACCACAAAAGGTATGTGAGAAGCGCAACTTCTTGTACGATTATGGAGCATTGCAGATCTATGACCTGCTGCAGCACAGTAGAGATGCCCCAGATGGTGGATTCATCTATCCGTGTAGGTTTTAAGCACCCTTTTCTCGAAGAATTTTGCCGAGTCTATCGATATCATGAGTTGGCTCACACCTCCAATGCTATAAACAACATTTTCTGCTTTTACAGCTTGTGTGAAATTCCTTGGGACACTGAGCCGCGTTTATCCTGAGGTCATCAACAACTTCCCCATGTTCGTACCAGCTGTTTTTGACATGGTACTGATTTTTTTCTAGAGGCGTTTGCGACAAATTTCATTTTAGGTTCGACATTTTGATCAAGTTGAAGCATCACAGAGGGTGCTTGCCTTTGATACATTCGCACAGATTGCCTACAAAGCGGAAGCAAAGCAAAATCTGCACAACTTGCTAGGTTTGCATTTTGAGTAATAGAATAGCCTATTTAAATTTGACTTTCTAGGTGAGCAGGGTATTACTCGTACGATGCAAGCATTTTCTGCTGCTGTATCAAGTGGACCGGTAGAGCTCCGTGTTCGACATGTTGACGCTTTGGCAGTTTTGTTTGAAAAAGGTGCGTTTTAATAATCTCAAAGTATTTCCTGGATGTTTATTGGGTGAGAACTGGCGTGATAAGACTTCTTGAAAAGAGTCGTGGTCTCTCCAGAACTATTTCTTTGTTTTCCATGCCTCTTTACAAATTTTTGT